AAAAAAAAAAAAAAAAAAAAAGAGAAAGAAAAAAAGAAAAAGAAAAAAAAAAGAAGTACAGAGAGGAATCTTTTTGTCTTTCCTCTCTCCTGGTGAGGGGAAGGATTAGAGAAACCAGAGGCTGAGAACAAGTTGAATAGAAAACAGCCAGAGAAGAGGGGATAATTGGTATTTTCAAGTCTACTATATAGATTCCAAACCTTGCCTCAATTTCACTGGAAACAAAGTATGGGTAAATTAGGAACTCACCTGGGACATGGCCATCCTGTTCTGCTCTGGACAAAGGATGGAGATCTATAAAGGCAAAATTAGGAGAGTACACTCGGTAGGTACAGCCATTAGACCACCATTACCATCCTGATAATAATTACCCTTGTACCCTGGGGAGAATGATCTAAAAACATGACCTGGTAGCTCCAGCTGTTTCCACGAAACTCTACTAAAATCATGTAGGTTTGGCAAATGAAATTTTGTTTCCCTTACTGGACAGATGTATGACTTGTGTCTAAAGATACCTACTTCACAAACCAGTTACAATTAACATCTCCTTTATCTTAAGAGTTCTATTCCTAGACATTTGTCATAATGAAACAATTCTAAATGTGGAAAAGCTGAAAGAATGTTAACTGTAGTAATTTCTACCATTAAAATATTAATATGTGGAAGCAGCCAGGTGCAGAGGCTCATGCTTATAATCCCAGCACTCTGGGAGGCCGATGTGGGCGGATCACTGGAGCCCAGGAGTTCGAGACCAGCCTGGGCAACATGGCGAAACCACATCTCTACAAAAATTAGCCAGACATGGTAGCACGTACCTGTAGTCCCTGCTACTCTGAAGGCTGGGTGGGAGGATCACTTGAGCCCAGGAAGTGGAGGTTGCAGTGAACCAAGATGGCACCACTGCACTCCAGCCTAGGCGACAGAGGGAATCTCTGTCTAAACAAAAAACAAATAAACAAACAAAAAAATTGGAAGCAACTAAATGTCCAGCAAAGAGGACACAGTTAAAAAATATGACACATGCAAAAGCAGGTATACTGAACAGGCTTTCAAAATGCTATGGAATTTGTTTTTAGTTCCTAATGTGTTTAAAAGCAGCTTCCAAGAAAGCAAGCGCATGTGATCTCATTTTTGATAATCAATATGCACATATATGACATCTCAGAGGATTTATTAAAATGCTAATGTTGGTTACTATTGAGTGGTGATTTCAATTTTCTTCTTTTATTTGCATTTTCTCAATTTTTGATAAAGAATATCACTAGTAAAACAAAAATTAAAAATTATTAAAAATCAATTCTTATCAAACAGAGCCCTAGAGGTGAAAAGACCCTCTGCAAGCGTGTATGAGTAGGATCTCTTGATGTGGTTTGGAGGAAGGAGCCCAACAAGGGCTCAGAGGGCTGCAGGGGAGGAGAGGTGTGGGGCTGGGTGGGTAACAGCCCAGCACTGTCAGTTCTGTGAGGGGTTGAAAACCACTGTGCCTGCTCCCCTGCATCTGCCTCTTTAACTGGCCACCTACCCTGTTCCCACCCCACCACTTCCTCCTTTCTCACAATTTGCATTTTGATTACCAGGCTCCTCCTTCTTTGGCAGTTTTTCAAAAGAAAGTTCCAGCAAGGAGCTTCTGTGCAGAGTAACCATTGCATACTGCAGCAATCACTGCGACAGTATCAAGGTAACAGGGTTCAGCTTGGTGTAGCTTAGCAGGTCATGTCCCCCAGCCCACTTTCATTAAACATTGAAATAAGGCAGCAGAGCTGGATGACAGCGTACCTAGAGACTATTCTGAAATTCTATAAACTAAAAACATATTTTCTGCACTTCGGTCAGGCTGAAGGGACACTCGCATTTCCCCTGGAAGCAGGTGCCTGGTTGATGATGTGGGGCTGACTCAAATTCAGAAAAAGCCAATGGCAAGAGAAGGAAGTGCATGGGTGCACAAATAGGTGTACTAGGAGAGGCCAATCCTCTGTGGCTGGCTGTGATCCTTCCCAGCCTCATCCCGCCTTTGCAGCCACTACAGGAGGGCACCTGCCCCATGCAAGGCACCCATGCCTCCATTCACCTGTGACTTTCACCTGTCCCTCCTCCAGTAGGAATCAAACTGCACTGTCACATGGTCCTCGATGGCACCTGGAAGTTGAGCCAGTTTGCTCTGTCTCAGCAGAAGTGAGGGACAAAGGTCACTACGGGTCCAGCTCTTCTAGGACCTGCTGTCCTGTGAACCTCCTTTCTCTGCCCTGAGGATCTGGGTCTGGACTCTGGGCTGAGGCTTCTCCTCCAACTCGCCTCAGCTCAGCGTACCTCTCTTATGTCCAAGGCGGCAGGACCAAGGGATTCAGAGACAAACACACCCCAGCTGGGGCCATCACTATAGCACCAGATCTCTGCCTGTGACCCAGGGAACTCACCTCCTCCTGGGGCCTCAGCCTAAGTCTTCTGAGACTAAGTGAGGAAGCCGAGGCACAGATAAACTGGAGTCTGAAGTCGGTGTAGCTGTGGTCTCAGGTCTGCACTCTGACCCTTGAAACACAATGACCACAGGAGATTCAATTAGCAACACCTATGCTCCCTTCCATGCAGTGAAGCTGAGTAAAATCCAAAGGTTTTTACCCAACAGAAGAGGGACAACGCCTCATTCTAGCTTTAAGAGTGAATTAACATTCATGCACAGCTCAATTATCCCCAGTGACGAAAACCCTGCTTTCCTGAGTTCGGGCTTTGGAACCAACTGATTGACTGCTGTGCCACTTTTATTCACTGAAGAAATGAGTGCCTTCCATGAGCCCGTTCTCCGTGCTGGAAATACATCAGTGAACAAAATCTCAAAGTCCCAGCTACTGCAGAGTTTCTAGTCTAGCGGGGGAGACACACAGGAAACAATAAACATGACAAACAAAGCACAGGAAATGAAAAAGGATTCCTCGGGTTTGCTACCTACGTGACTTTGGACAGGTTGCCAAGCCACACTGAGCCATTTTCTCTCTATAACATGAAAATAATCATCGTAACACCTCACAGGGCTCCTGTGAAGATTAATGTGAAACATTTGCAAGGTTGCCTGGCATTTTTAGGAGCTCAGGAAACAGGGGCCGAGTGACTCAATCAATCAGTCACTTGCTGGCCCCGAACCTCGCCCCCAGCACTCACGCCCACAGGCCTGCGGGTCTCAGGGAACCCGACTCTGGTCCTGGCTCAGAGGGTCCTGAGAGCAAGGGGTCTGTCTCAGGCGGGGAAGTGGCCTGGAGGGTGGGCTTTTGAGCTAGGCTGTAGAGCCACCCTGTCACCCACAAAGGCGTCCCATGACCCCACGGTCCCGTCAACCCCCGTCCCCCATTAAAACTATCACCACCTCCGCATCCCTCTTACTTCACCGCCAAGAGCCTGAAACCTCAGAGACCGACGACAACAGCTACTGCGAACTAGGAACCGCCCGCCCGGGTCAGCCGAGCACTTCCGTTTCCCACCGCCCCCTGGGAACGCGGGATGGGGTTGGAGTGTGTCGCAGCGCTGCGCACGCGCAGTAGCACGGGGGTGGGTGCGCCACCGCCAATGGCCAACGTGGCGGCTTCCAGGGGCCCTGTGTTTCCAATAGTGTTCGGTTTGGGGAGAAAAGCCTGTGACCATTTTCTGTGGCGAGTGGTACAAAAGGCCCAGGGGATCATCCCTTGGGGCGAGAGGCGAGCGGACTTTCCAGCGGCCTAGCTCCCGCCCGCAGGGAGGCCGAAGTGCCCCTTCTCCCACTTCGTCCTCCTGCATCGCGACCCTGCCAGTCGCTGCGGCATTGGGTGTTCGCGTCCCTCTGTCCCGAAAGCCATTGTTCCCGCTTTTTTCCCCTCCTGGGAATAGGAAAAAGAGTCGCGCCTCCGGCGTCAATAGCTCTCGGAGGCGCGGCCGTCTAAGGTCCAGGCGGGTCTCAGGGAACCCGACCATGGGGCTGGCTCTCAGAGAGTCATGAGAGCAAGGGGTCTGGCTCAGGCGGGGAAGTGGCCTGGAGGATGGGCTGTTGAGCTGGGCTGCAGAGCCAGCAATCTCTTGAAATGAGGAAAGAAACCCTCATTCTGATTTTTCTCTACTCAGTAGAGGGTCTCCAATTCCTGAGATCCTAGACCCCTGGGAGAATCTAGATTTTACTTTTTTGAAAACGCACTGTAAAAAGCAGAGAGGTGTTTTCTCTGAGATTGCCAGCCAGTGGCAACATGGTCCCCTAAAAAGGCCTGTAGTAGCCTTGAGGAAAGTTTTCTGTTTCCTGTCTGGGCCTTGGGGAAACAGACCAAGTGTATTCTTCATCCTTCTGTGGCTGCCTGGTCACCAAGCAGGCTTCCTTGGGTCAGGTGTGGCAGGGTCTCCACCAGGTACAAAGCAGTCCCTTCTGTGCTGGAGCCAACTGGTTCCAGACACTGTTTATAGATGAAAGTGTCAAAGCTGATCATGGAATCCATCAGATATGTATTTAATTTCCATTTAAACATGGGTCTTTCTCCTTTTTCTCTTTCTCCTCTGCAGGTTAACTTGCATTCCCCAGGTAGTTTGAATGAGTCTCAGCCCAAATGTGCAAACTCAGTACAGCCATCCCCTGGGAAGTCACCCTGTCTAAGCCTCCTGTACAAGTCCTAGGAAAAGAACCTGTTTTCCCTTGGGCATGTGAGCAGTGAATTATTGCTCATTCAGAATTTCATGTGTATGTGTTGCTGATGGCCAGGTTTAGAGATACCAACCTATTTGTTTTTAGAGGAGAGGTGAACTGATAACATTCTTTTGAGACATCACTATCACTAGGCAGGAAAGGGCTAATAGTATGACAGTGTCCTGGGGACAATAAACTGCAAACTACAAAAGCACCTGGTCTGTGGCCCTGACCAGCATCTCTCCATATCCTGATTCTGCAGGAACAGGTATTTCTTCAGAAAGAGAAGGGACTGATGTTTTAGATGTGACCAGATGCAGGGCACACCCTTATTGCCATGCCAGCATTTGCTATTCATGATGTTAGTATTCAAAAATTAAGAAACAGCCTGCTTGGGACATTGGTGTCTAATAATCCGTTGGAAGAGAAGACTGGAATCCACCACTTACTAGCTTCTTGGGCCTCATTTCCCCCTTTTCTCCCACAGCTGAGGACCACCTATCCTAGATGGCTGCTGTTATTGTTCAAAGGAACCTCTTTAGAGCCTCAAGCCCAGGAATAGCCCATGGCAGGCACCTGGTAAATGTCAGTTTTCACTGTCCTCTCCCGACACTATGAAACATGCTGTGCTCTCTGCAACTGCTCTTGTGGATTTCCATAGGCAGGAGAGTATCCAGTATTAAGTGGAGCTGGTATTTGCAGAAATGAAGCCCCTTTCCTTATTTGTGCCAGCCCGTTTTGTCTTGGGCATATGTGCATTGCATTATTGCCCACTCTGTATTTTATTTGCATCTGTTAACGATGGCCAGGTTCAGAGATACCACCCTATTTATTTCTAGAGGAGAGGTGAACTGATAACTTTCTTTTCTCGTATCATTATCTCTAGGTAGGAAAGGATTAATAGAGTTAGTGTGACAGTGTCCTGTGGACAGCATAGAAACCGCCCCAACCTCCGCCCTCCCGCAAGCTGCAGAAGTACCTGGTTTGTGGCCTTTGCCAGCCTCTCTTCATATCCCGATTCTGCAGGAACAGGTGCTTGAACATTAGGAGAAGGGGCTGAATCTTTGGGTGGGGTTTCATGAAGGGCACACCGTTATTGGGATGCTAGCATTTGCCATTCATGACACTGGCATTTGGGTATCATGAAACACAGGAAAGTTTTTCCAACCCCCACCGTATTGACTGTTGGGATCTACTAATCCATTAGAAGAGAAGACTCAAATCCATCACTTACTGACCCGTTGGACTTAAGTTCCCTCCTCGTTGTCATAGCCAAGCACCACCTGTCCTAGATGGCTCCTGTTTTGTTCAGAGGAACATCTCTAGAGCTGCAGGCCCAGGAATAGCCCTTGGCAGGCACCTGGTAAGTGGTGTTTTCATTTTCCTCTCTCCCACACTATGAAACATGCTGGTGCCCCTTTTGGACTTTTCCATACTGTGGACTTCCCCTTTTCCATTTCCTTGCACAGGTGTGCCTGTGCCTGGCACCAACTTTGCCCAGGATCACCACTTGTATCCACCTGCAGAGGCTTCTTATTGAGTTGAAATTTATTTTATTCCTGATGCTACAATATTATTTGCATTGATACCCAGTCCACAGTTTGTTTCAGTCATCCTGGTGCAGTGGGCCTTCTGAAATCCAGTTTGAGCCTCCCCTTATCAAAGGACTTGCAAGGTTGTCAGGAAGTTCCAGACCTCAGCAGCAGTTACTGCAAGGCACTGCTGGGCTTTTTCCACATCTGAAGGGCAGAGGTCCTGAGTAATTGCAGTGGGCAGGAGCTGAGTCATGCTTGATTTCTTGCTGTGGTTTGGCATGTTGCTGATGGTCCCTGGAACCTCCCTCATCCTAGATCCTTTCCCTCCAGTAAGTGTGGTGACAGGCCCACCAGGCAATGCCTTGATGACATTCCATTTTTTGAACTGTGTGAGTTCCTGTAGGGAAAGGAAAGCCGGTTACAAGTGATCATCTCCTACCTGGATGGCACTGCTCTGTATATGGCTGCTCTGTAGATTTTCACAGGGAAGGGAGTATCTAGAGTTGAGTGTAACTGGAATAGACAACAAAGGAATGGGGAATACATGCAGGGGAACTGATTGATTGCCTAAGATAATATCATGAAATCAATCTCATGCCTGTCTGGTGGTTCAGAGGTTAGAGCTCCAGTCTTTGAGTGACTGTGCCCATTGTTGAGAATTATGTATACTATGATAAACACCAAAGGTAGGAGTCTTCAGCTAGCCTCCAGGTGGCTCTATTTTAGAGGTCTCTTTCTGTTCTTGAAAGATAGTACAGGAAGTCAGAGTATAATAAGATGTACAGTGAATTTAGATGATGCCAGGCCTTGTGCTATGTGATTTACATTAATTACTTCATTTTAAAATCTTTTTTTTTTTTAAATACAGAGTTTCACTCTGTCACCCAGGCTGAAGTGCAGTGGCGTGATCTCGGCTCACTGCAACCTCCACCTCCTGGATTCAAGCGATTCTCCTGCCTCAGCCTCCCGAGTAGCTGGGATTACAGGCGCATGCCACCGTGCCCAGCTAATTTTTGTATTTTTAATAGAGACGGGGTTTCGCCATGTTGGCCAGGCTGGTCTTGAACTCCTGACCTCAGGTGATCAGCCCGCCTCAGTTTCCCGAAGTGCTGGGATCACAGGCATGAACCACCGCACCCAGCCCATTTAAAAATTCTCAACGTCTGTCATTATTATGATACCCTGTCTACAGATAAAGAGACTGAAGCCCACAGATATCAGGCAACTCGCCAAAAGCTTCATAGCTGATAAATGAACTCAGGATTTAAGGTTAGACAGTTTGGCTCCAGAACATACACCATTGATCTTGACACCATTCTGTAGTTATTAGAGCACCCTATTTACAAAAAAAGGATCAGGGTGATTACATGACTTGCCCAATTTGGACAGCCAGTGAGTGGCACAATTAAAACTAACACCTAGGTCTCCTGACTTCAAATCTCATTCTTTTTTCAGGCTGACATTTGTCTTATCCCAGGTCCTCTGGAGCAGTGCATCTCAGACTTGAATGCACATTGGGATCCCCTTAAGGATCTTGTTAAATTGGAGATTCTGATTCAATACTTCTGTAAAGGGCCTGACATTCTGCATTTCTAACAAGCTCCCAGACAATGCTATTACTGCTGGTCCTCAGACTATGCTTTCAGTCAAAAGAAGATTTGAGCAACCCTCTGGTTTAGCAGCTGTGGTTTCCAAGCAGGAGAATTTCCTTAAACGCATATCTACCGACACACACACACACACACACACACACACACACACACACACAAAGACACAGCAGGTGTGTTCTCTGAGTCTCACTTCTGAGACCCCTTAACAATTCCCTTCTGGGGTGAAGAGTCTGAGGCCCAAGGAGGGAAAAAACTCTTCAGGGAGTCATTAACAGACTGGAACTAGGACCCATTCCACTTGACTTCTCAGCCAATGTTCCTCCCTCCCCTGTTCCTTCCTCCATTGCATGAGGGTTTCTGGGGAGAACAGTAGTAAAGGAATGGGCATTGTTCAATGTCACATTATTCATGACTTTGCAGGAAAAAAACAAGGTGATCCTCATTCCAGGTCTTCTTGCCCGCCATGCTGTACTGAACACATGATTTAGCTGCCCGGGAGGATCCAACTGTACTGAGCCTAGGAGAAAGGTCAAAATGGTTCCCTTCAGAAATCTGCCTGCCCATGCAGCTACCATCCTGGGGAAAATGTAACTACAACAACCTCTCAGATGCTCAGACACCATTTGTAAGCTCAGTTGCCTGCCCACAAACTCTAGGAATTACCAGTAGCTAGATGCATACTACAACTTTTGTACTACTATGGTTAGGTCAAATTACTGATTAGACCCAAAATTTAATGGCTCAGATACAATTTCTTTCTTGCTCACACAAGAATCAACCGTGGGTATTCCATATTGACAGGCAGTGCCCCTTCATGTAGACCCAGCCTGTTGTCATATCTGCCCTCTTCAAAATGGCTTCCAAGGCGCTCTGGGCATCATCATTCCTGGAAGTGAGAAAGAATATGGATGACTATAGCTCAGGGTTTACAGTTTACAACTAGCTTTCAGGATCACCGTGGTCAGGAAATTGTTTCTGCCACCCAGAGGACAGAAAACTGCAGAAAGCCATTGCTGATAGCATGAGTATCCCATTGGCCCCAGCATGATTAGCTTAGAAAGGAGTTTAACAGGGTGC